GGCAAAGCTTCGGCGTCCCTGCGCCGTGTCGCCACCGACTGTCGTCGACTCTGCGCTGTCACAACCAACAATAAACCGCTGTCTTATTGACTTCCCTCTCCGCAGACCACCGGACCTGACAATTGGCCTACCAAGAGCAGCCGCTATCCGCAGTCGAGGTAGGGAGGCCCGCCCGCCGAGGGCCAGCCGCTATCCGCAGGCGAGGTAGGGAGGCACAGTGTTTTGTGGCACTTGGGGACACGGTTTAGTGGGTGTGGTGGTGTTGGGTTGACGGTTGGACTTGATGATCTTAGAGGTCTTTTCCAACCTTAAAGATTCTGTGATTCTGTCTGCCGCGGGCACATAAGATCCGCATCAATATTACTGATGCAACTTTTGTGATGAGTAATCGGCCGTTAAAGATTTTCTGCAAAGTCCACATTTTGGTAATTGGCCCTTCCTCTCATTTCAGCTTTACAATCATTTGCTTTTCATAAATTAAAGGGAAAAAAGAGTAACATGACATTTTAAATTTAGCAGACATCCCAACCTTACAACAAGTAACCCAGGGCTTTATTACTTTCAGTTTTCCACATCATTTTATGATTTCACACAGTCTGATCCTGATGGCAAAATTACTTTATCCAGTCTCAAATACAAGGAAGAGAACGACACCCTTCCTCTCTAGCGGATGGCTCTCTGCCCTGGCAATTAGGGAATGGGCAGCACTTTTTCGTGGAAAAATGGGCAGCTTTGGAAAAAGCCTGAGCGTCCTCTGTCCTTTCCTGACTCCAGCCTTTTCCAAGAGGGATTCTAAGTTCATTTTCTTTGTGAAAGAGCTTAATGGTTACCCAGTAAGAAGATTAACTCTGAAAAGTGTATTAAGAAGGCAAAGAGTATGGGAAAAACAAAACAAAAGCAAGATCAAAGTAAATCCAAAGTCAGCATAAACCCATCCTTTCCCTAAGGGTAGAGGAACCAGCCTCGCAAAGCTCAACACAGGTAAATCTGAGTGCTAGCTATGATTTTAATAAACCTTATCTCTTGCTATTACCACTTGCTGTACTCATGTCAGCATGCCTTGGGACCACTGCAAATATCTTCTTTCCGTGCTCCTTACCCTCGGTGCTGTCTGTCTCTTAACTCATCTTTGCGATCTGAGAGAAAGCCGCTGAGCTTTCTCATCTAACCAGGTCCAGCATCCACATAGCGAAGCAACGCCTGGCTCCTCATTAGGCTTCAGCCACAGGAAAGCTGAGGGTTCTTGTCTTCTCTCGCTCCTCTTGGTCGCTGACTGCTCCTCTGTCCCTGGAGGAGGCCAAGCCGATTGTCACCTCCTCCACTGTGCACTGAACACCGGCATCTTTCCCCATTTCTCCGCAGGGCAGGGCAAAAAGGCCCTTCAACAGATCTTCAAGGAAAACCTAAGCAGGTCCAGTGCTCTCTAGTACACTCCACTGCCCTGCCCTCGGCTAGATCCCAAGCAATTTTAACACCTCTGAGCCCTGTTGTGACGGAAGCACCCACTGCACCCAGGTGCTGCCGTGGCACGGATGCATGAAAGCATAAATGCATCTGTCCTAGCTGAAGCCTCTTCACAGAGCTGTCTAGGTTAGGAGGGCTTCTTCTGCACCTAGGGAGGCAACCAGCCCACCTGAGAGCTGAACCGACTCTGCAATCCCAGCTCTCCGCAGGGACTGAAAAATAAGCTCCGGAGACCAGGCTCGACAACAGTGCCTATGTTTGGAGGGATCAGTCTGGGCTTTTGCCTTGGTAGCTGAGGTCCCAGCGGCTTCCTGCCCCTTAATTGGATTACCTAAAAAAACCCAACCACAACCCAAGCCACCTGAAAGCAGGCTGGCCCAGGTGACCATGCTCAAGCACTGCTGCCAATCAATACTAGCCCAGCTCCAAGCGGAGAGCCAAGTGGCCAAGTGTATTACATAACACACCAACACACGCTACTCTTCTGCATAGAGCGTTCCCCCTCCCAGTGTGTCCTCTTCCAACCTTCTCCAGGCTTGTGTTGATCCCTCTAACCTCAAACCCTATCCTTGGAAACCACCAGTTGTGGCAAACATGGAATTGAATGGAAAAATTCAGTACTCACTAGCGGGGAGGCAACCGCAGTATGCCAAGAGATCTGCTCCCAGTTTGGCTCCACAGAGAACAATCCCAAACAAAGAATTACCAGGGTCATACAACAGGAGACACCGGTTTTCAATTTGGACCTTACAACGTCAAGGGGAAAAGAGCAGGGAAACCACAGGTGGATGCCCAGGACCTGCCAGCTCTTCCAAAAGTGTGCACAGGAACTGTGGCTAAGCAGAAACAGAGCGTCTCGGGATGGAGAAAGTGAAATATCACTGGGGTTGGAGGTTGGTAGTCGGGCAAGAAGGCTTTCCCGGGCAAGCTGAAAGTATCGGAAGGTACAGCTGCTTCAAAATGTCACGGCTGCTTCCAGCTAGATGAGTGTACAGGGCAAGAGCTGTCCTAAGGCATGGTCCCGGGTCCCTCTCCACGTTGTCACGTGGGTGGCAATCACACAACCCGCCCTGCCCACCTGAAAAAGGGAGGGCTTGAGGTCATGCTGCAACTACAAAGCACTGGCCACCAGCACTGCCACAGGAAGAGACAGAGATAGAGACAAAAACAAAAAGAAATAAAAGGGTAACATCTTCTGAGGAGCACATTTCACAGTCTGAAGAGAGAGCATCCAGGACCTCTAACTCTGGTTTTACTCGGGCGTCTTTCTGCTCGGTAAGAACCTACGGAAACACAGATTGCAGGGGTATTCTGGCTGTAGTATCGCTACGCTGTTAACTGCACCATTCCAATGAGCATGAAAGGTTGCACAGCTGAAAATTAAGGATGTAGGCAGGCGGGGAAGTTACTGAAGGTAAACAGAAGTTTGTTCAAAGCCTTTCATCCTTTAAAACACGGGCACCCGAGACCCTCCCTTATCTTTGCAAAAACAGCGATCGGTGAAAGAGCTTAGGTCCCAGTCCTGCTCCAAGGAACTGTTACAAACTGACTTCAGCCCGTCACAGTTCTTCTACACGCACGCAAATAAATAAAAATTGGAATAGCCTCCTTCTCCAGCAGACTCATACCTCCCTGCATGGCCTCATTAACCACCAAGCTTCCAGACGGGATACCGAGGTAACGACAGCCAGTCACTCTGCTGTCAAGGCAAGAAAATCTGTTCTCTTCCCAGCTCCTGTTGTTGTAACACAATTATTCCCTCGCCTCCTGTATGGCACGCTCAGTTCTGCTCAAGAAAGTTGCCAGGCATCACCACAATTTCACAACTTCATCAAGACGGGAGTTTCAGTCAATCAGTAGCGAAAACTGAGATCTAAGGTGATTTCTCAGGCCAGCTTCGAAAGGCAGGGTACAGTACAAGGGTTCCATTGTGCAAAGTTCATCAGCAGGACACGGGCTAATTAACTAAGCGGCTTTTTGGAACTAGTTAGTTTTCAAGTAACGGTTTTCACTACAAGCAGTCAGGCGTTATCTACGTGGAAAGTTAAAAAACTTCGGAGCACACTTCCAAACTGCATTTACTAACAGATTTCGCTATTAGCACTGTCAAAACATCTATTTTTATACCCAATTCTACACGAAAAGGCTATTAACTGCACACGTCCAGAGACATTTCAGCAGCAGCGGCAACTGAGACTGCGCTACTCAGATGTCCAAAGCCTGCGGCAACATTCAGACCTAGTCTGCTGCTAATCTATACAGAAGACCCCAATGATAATGTGATTAAAAATATAAAACATGGCAGTCTTTCCAATGAAAAAAGCTGTTTCACAATCCTACTCTT